TAAAAAAAATAATAAAATATTATACTTCTTAAGTATATCTAGATTAGGTGTGTCTAAAAAATAAAAAAAATTGATTAAAATATTTTTAAAAATTCAATAAAAATAAAAAAATACGAAAAATAAAAAAATTGAATTTTTTGTGTGAGTTAAAACTAAAGAAAATGATTGTTATTTCCTTTGAAATGATATGAACAAAATATTTGTATTATATTATTATTTATATGTATAAAGGTTAAGGGGCAAATATGTCATTTTACTCTGACAGAGAGGATAAATGTAATTTTTCAAATATGAGGGGAGATTTGTATTAAACAGAAATCTTAAGGGATGCCAGTGTAATTTATCCTTTATAGTAAATAAGTAAATATTTAGTGCATTGCCAAACAATCCCTAAGCTCTAATTTAATATATTCAATGACAAAATTCTATATCAATTAATTTAACCCATTCTTCCTAATCTAATCTCAATCAAACAAAAAAATTATGTATTTTTATTTTAAAAATTAACATTTTGGGTTTTAATTATACCAACAGGTTCTAGACACATTGACCCCAAAGTAGTTGATGCAGTTTATTTATTTATTTATTGGCGAAAAATTACTTTATTAAACTTAAAAGGGTAAATTACAAATACACTTCTTGAAATTTATTTAAAATATAGATTGTCCCTTATAGTTTGAAAAAATACAAATACTCCTTTATCAGAATTTTTTATTTAATAAAATTAATTGAAAAAATGAAATTCCTAACTATTTTCCTATACAATAATAAAATTACTTGAATTATTAATTGAAATAAATTTCTGACATCATTAAAAAATTATTAATTAATTTAATGATTTATTAATAAAAGGGGCCATATGTTATGAAATTAGAAACTCTAGGAGACATGATGTAATTTTTAAAATCACATAGGACAATTTGTATTTTAAACAAACCTCAGAGTATGTGTTTGTAATTTACCCAACTTAAAAAACTAATTACAAGAATGTTGGGGACCACTTTTAGTTTCCAATTTTATGTTTTCAACTCTTGATTTACAAAATGTTGCAACAAATGGAGATAATGAATTGTACAGCTTAGCCAAGTATAATAATAAGAACATTTTTGTTTTTATAATCATTATTGCCCAGTCTATATCACGTTAGTTCAAATTATTTTTCATCTTTCTTACTAAATTCATAGATTTGTGAAGAGTTTTTTTGAACTAATTATAAAATAAATTTACTTGGAAAATTGATCTAATTTTTAAATAATTTTTCCGAGCGTCTACATGTTATTTAGAAGTTGATTTTTATAGATTCTATACAATTAAAATATAAATTGTCGATAATTTGATGAACAAGAAATATATCGATAAATTTCGATTCTTTCTTTTTTTTCTTGATTTTTTTCCGATTGAGATGTATGGATCCAAGGATTAACGAAAATGTTCAAGTTCTCTTTTGATTATTTCAAATTGATCAGAAAAAATAGATATATAGCGAAGAAATAGAATTGGGTGCTATTTACATTCTATATATGAAATTGATATATACATATATGAACATAATATTGTAGGGAGTTTAACAACAACACATTGGAAAAAAAATTGATCCCCGAAAATTGATGGAGACTCAATAATCCAGAGGAACATATATAGCACGTATTCAATTCAATCTGTGACATAAATATGAATATTGAGAATTTTAAACCTAGTAGTGTATATTATATTAGTGTACTAAAGGTAGCTTTATAGCATAACCATATCAATTATCTGAGTAACTAAATGTGAGTAAACATATCAGCCAACATCTATGCATGTGCTTTGTGTTCATCAATTATATCAGCACTGAGATATACATAGTAGCTTTGGTTCACAAACTTTAATATAATTTAATCTGAGTGCTAATTAACAATCTATAATCAGTACAGAAAGAACATCTAACTAGGAAAAAAGGAACTTTACACTTAGCCAGAAAAGCAAACTTCTTGAACCTCATTTGTTCATGCAAACTTTCTTATATGGCTGGAAAGTTTCTGTGGTTGGGTTAGGCCAAGTACAGATACTACTGCATATATATGATGTATCTGTACTCTCTGATAATTCAACTTAATTCCCTATTTGTGATAGGTTTGGTTTCTTATATATTTATATCACTCAAATAGAATAGAATATAGAGGTTGACGTATGGGATGACATACAAAACCATGTCCTTTTTCATTTTTAATTTAAAAGGTTACCCACATAATAAAGCTTAGTCATTTATTAATTGTAATTGGAAGCACTCTTCTTATTGAATTTTAACTGAGGGACATCATTGTCTCTGGCTTATTAATGGACCCGACACTGCAGTTTGATTCGTGGGTTGATTCGTAAGGCTTACGATGTGTCCTAGTCTAGTGGGCTGAGATATAGATTGGGCTTCTCTTCAAGGTGATGTCTAAGTCCGTGTTTCGATAATTTGAACTATTTATTTTGTTGGGCCTACATAATTCAAAAATAAAAATTAAATCGATTGGATAATTATATCAATTTATCGCGTTTGTTACTAAAAAATTAGATATATACAGAAACCCTCTTTGTTATTGTTGGTGACTTGATCAGCTAAAAAACACTTAGACATCAACAACAGGTCCTCATTGATTTAATATCTTGAATTTCAGGGGTTTTATGGAGTTTTTGGCACAAAATGAAGCAAGTCAAGAAAGAAAGTTAGCTTACCATAGGGGATTGCATTCTAACCACTTAAAGAAAGCCATAAATAGACAATAACAACACCAAGAAAATTGCAAAACAGTTTGTTCTTTTTCCGTTGGTAGATTGTGAATTCGATTTCATCAAATAAATGTTTGTTTTCTTGGACTAAATTATATGAGACTATTACTTCCAAGACTAGTAGTTTTAGGTTTATCAATCTCTTAAGATTGCATATCATATTCAAAGTTCAGAATATTCTTAAATTAGGGAGCACGATTAGTAAAATCTTTATCTCATTTCATGTTTGTTTGGAATTATTTTGATATGGACTAAATGGTATAATAACCGTAGTTCCATGGTGTTTTAGTATCCTACCCTCAATCCGGAACTGTCAGTAGTGTTATCCCCTAAACAAACTTGGGAATGAAAATTGTGAAAGATAGTGTGCTGGACTTTAATGTCGGCATAAAAGATATATCTGATCAAAGCAAGTGCTAATAATATGTACAAAATATACATGAAACCCTAGCAAGCAACTTTAGTTGGCCAGATAAGCAAAATTTCTTTAAGCTCTTTCATTTATATATAGCAATTTTTTTTTTTCTTTTGTTTTATGAACATATGTTTCTTAATAACTAGGAAGAAGAGGGCGATGACGTATGGGATAATGGATAAACCATGATCATGCATGCTTTTTCAATGAGAAACTCATTAGAAAGTTCTTTTGAGGAAGAAGAAAAAACAAAACCTCGAGCACGCTGCACGTGCATTGGCGATTAATCCTACTATCTTAGTAAAACATATATAGTCAGTTTTTCAAAACCTTGGGCATGTAAGGTACGAAGTACATTGTTACATAGGCTGGTGAGACACGATCTAGGATTGAGTCTTGTGAATGCATTGTAACGGGTCTTGGTACTCTAGATAGAGTGTTGAGATTGTTCAAATTGAAAGATTCAAATCACAAATGTAGGCATTGCTCCTTTACACTCACAGGTAAATTTGAATTTCGTGCAAAATATTTTATTATACTTGTTTTTTCTTTATTAGGACACTTGTTACATCACAGTGTAGATTTTTTGATATTTTTATCATTAGATGCGCAGTACATTGGTCTCGTTGTATTTTCCAAGCAAAATTAGTGAGTTTGCACATTTCCATAGTCTAGACATTAGATCGATAAGAAATTGCTAAACAATTGACTAGCAAGGGATTTCTAAGCAATTGAGCGTCACGGTAAGGAATTGATTGCCAATTCGCATTAAAATGTCAATTTTTACTTTAGAGATGAGAGATTGCTAAGGAATTGCTAGGTGATCAATCACTCTACTTTCATGGTGTAGTGACCGATCACCGTAGTGAGAAAGGCGTAATTCGATCTGTTTTAGGTTTCTGAATTCCCCATGTCTTGTATATTTTGAACGACTAAAAGTTTTCTAAGGAGTTTTGAACACTTATCTTTACATCTTTATGAAAATACTCTTTTGAGTTTTTCCATAAATAAATAAATAAAAACACCTGCACACATTGCATTGCATTTTTTTGACATCCCGTGATCATTTGGGTAAACAGAATTGTCAGAGTACGAAGGTCGAGTCAAAGTTTTGTGGTGATCTAGCATCTAGCAAATAAAGAAAGCTGGCCAAGTCAGTGTGACTTTGTAGAGCGTGGAACGGATTTCAGAGTTAAGTGAAGTAGGGTATGGTTGTAATTTTATTTTTGGTCTGAGTCTTCTAAATTTTGATTTGTTTAGTGAATTATTTAGCATGCTGGGATCATGATTTTCATCACATGAGGGAGTTTTCTTGTAGGATCTTCATATCAAATCACTGTGTTTATTTATTCAGTAATGTATCTGATCACCCTCGATCTATAATTGAAATTGAATTTTTAATTACCCAAAATCTTTTAAAAACATGTTCATCTTCGTGTTAGCCTAATCACCTCCCCAAATACGCATAATTTCTACAGATTCCAATATTTTAGCTAGTGATGCTATCCAATTAATTGTTGCATCAAGCTGGCATGTTCATATTTAAGATAGTGCCTTCTAGACTATAAAGTTGATCATCAATCTCATGGCATTGCTTTAATTTTTTTATTCTATTCTGCAAACTATTTCTTTCCTCTGCAGTTGCAAGCATTTAGCAGTTTAATCAAGAGATGGCAGCTGTGTTGCTCATGATATCATGGAAAAATAAATAAATAAATAAAAAACATGCTTGTAGCCTCAATTTCAAGAATTCATTTTATATCACTATACTGTTTTTTTTTTCCCTGACCAAAACTGATAGGTGATTGCAAGAGAGTGAAGACAAGAATAGATCAAGAAAATAGCAAGACAATTTTATTCATTGATAGATTGTGAATCAGTTCTCATCAAATAGACTATGGGTTGTGAAGAAAATGAAGAAATAAGGCTACATTGATACCACCACTCATACAACATAAATGATTCTGATGCTCAAATTTTCTTTATTACATTTCCGACAGTTGTATGATCCCAAAATCAATCTTCTCTAAAGCAAAAATGGAAGGAGAGAAGCTAATTTGATTATGCTTCGTTTAGGGCTTGAAGGAGGTGAAAGCAACCACTGAATTATGCCCGCCAAAGCCAAATGAGTTGGAGATAGCTGCAGGAAAGAAATTTGATTAGCAAATATAGGAATGTATGCAATATTTCTTGTTTTTCTTGCATGGTTTGTGCACAAGAGCAATTAATTGAAAGTTTCTTGGAAACACGTACCAACATTGACTTCGTGCTGTTTTTTCACATTTGGGACAGTGTCGACAGTGACATCAGGCTCCAAGTTCTACAAATATAAGGAAACAAACATACAGTTAATGAAACTAACAAAATGTATAGCATAATTGGGGAATTGGGTTTTTGGTGCATTACATTTTGGTTAATGGTTGGATGAAGCCAGCCAGTGTTGATTGCTTTAATGGTTGCAATGGCTTCCAATCCACCAGCAGCTCCGAGCCCATGCCCAATCATAGACTGAAAAACCAATAAAATGAGAAACCCAAACGCATCAGGCATGATCATCATTTTTAGTTCAACATTCAATCGATTTGATAAATAAACTGTTATTTTGTTCTGAAATTTTCTGTCTACAATTGCGAATAATTTTTTGTATATGTGAATGGGGTTTAGGTTTTCTTGCCTTAGTTCCATTCATCTTCATCTCAGATGTGTCCTTAAAGACTTTCTTGAGAGCATTAACCTCTGCTAAATCCCCAGCAAGGGTAGACGTTGCGTGAGCATTCACATAGTTCACCTGTGTTTTATCAATTTGCGAATATTAGCGTCGGAATTTATGATTTATTACATTACAACTTATAAAAATATGCTTCTATCGTGTCAATAGATTTTAAGTAGACATTTTTTTACCTCCTCGGGGGAAACTCCAGCATCTTCCAAAGCCTTGGTTATACAAGATGAAACTCCAAGGCCATCTGCCCGAGGATCAGTCATGTGATGAGCATCACATGTTACTGCACCTCCCAAGTACTCTCCAATTATATTCGCTCCTCTTTTCATTGCATGCTCTAAGCTCTCCATAATCTTTCCTCAACCAAAACAAAGACAGACAGACATGAATTTCAGATGCAAATGATAATAATATAGGATAAACACAAATAGGCCAAGTCACAAATGTAGTCACAACCAAGTATCAAATGACAGATTGGGTCTTAATTTAAAATACCAGAACACCAGAGCCTTCTCCCATGACAAAACCATCACGATCTTTATCCCACGGCCTGGAAGCTCTGTGGGGTTCATCGTTCCTTTGAGATAAAGCCCGACAAGCAATAAAGCCACCAATCCCAGAAGGCATGACAGCAGCCTCAGTCCCACCAGCAACCATGATATCTGCTTCGCCTCTTCTAATGTGATTTGCAGCTGCGTAAAAGCAGTAGTTTGCAGTTGCACAAGCCGTTGAAATTGAGTAATTGGGTCCCATTAAGCCGGTATCTATAGCTAATAATGCTGATCCCATGTTGGTGATTGAATAAGGGATGAAAAATGGAGATATCTTCTTATATCCCTTCTGAATAAGAGCCTCAACCCCATTGCTGAATGCTGTCAAACCTCCCATTCCTGTTCCCACTAGAACCCCAATTTTTGTTTTGTCCATCTGCAACATAAAATTGAGAAACTTAAGTATATGAAATTATCTATTTATTTTAGGCGAACTACAATTTTTGTTTTTATTTTTTTGATGGGGGTTATGGGATATACAGTTTCAAGGACTTCAGGTCTGAGCTTGGCATCTTCAAGGGCTCTTTTCCCGGCAACCAAGCAGTACCTCCAGCAATCATCTAGACGTCGATCATTCTTGCCATCAATGTAGCCTTTGGAAGAGAAGTTGCGAATCTGACCAGCGAATCGAACAGAGAAAGTCGAAGCATCGAATTTATCAATAAGAGTGATGCCACTTTCTCCATCAAGAAGTTTATTGTAGAATGTATCAATGTCATTGCCAAAAACTGAAACAAGGCCCATTCCTGTTATGACAATCCTTTTCTTGGGATCTGTTTCCCGTTTGGGAGCTGAAACAGATGGAGAGGACATGGCCTTGATTCTACTGCATTTCGAGGCTGAGAATATGAAATTTTGTTTTAATGAGAACAAATATAAAAGTAAAATAAAAAATTGAGTACTCTATTTTAAACTTGAATGCCTCACATGATGTTTGTGTAAATAATTAACCAGGTGTGCATTATTAGAAAGATTGAAGAACAACATATTTGAAAGAACCTAGAAGGACTTTCAGTAAAGATCAGCATCAAAGGAGCAACTCGGAAAACTCTGTTATTGCATTCAATGGTGCTAAAAAGTGGGCTCTCTGAACAATTGTGGAGCCTTACTTTCTGAACCAATGGAAAATTATGGAAAAGATTGACATGAAAAAAAGGCACATGAAAATGGAACCTGCTCTTAAACACAGAGGTCAAGATTCATGTTTAAGGTATATAAATTCTGTGAAATGACGATGTATTTTCATAAGGAGATTGATTCTGTGTACTGCTCAAATTTTGAATTCAACAATATATGAATAGAAATTTGAAGTTGTCACTAAGTTTAGTTTCTGGGTGCTACAAATCTGATTACTAGACCATCTTCTCTTAACTATTTGTTATGGATAGGCAGAGTCCTATTGCCAATTTTGCAGCATTGTCAAGTGAATTGGAGGAACAATATCACAATTTTTATTCAATAAGATACTAAAGTTGACAATTGAGTCATTCCATACTACAAACGGTCGCAAGAAATCCAATGATAAATTAATACACATATAAACTATATAAAAATGTTATGCATCACTGGATTTTTATCACCATTTTGTATCAATGCCCATGTTGATTTTAGGCTTGGTTTTCAAGGAGAATTTTGGATGTGAACAAAACAAAAAGTAGGAAGAAACTGAACCCAGGACTGAAAATAGCATTTAAAGTATATATAAATTGGAAAGTGAAAAGGATGATCAAAACCTGAAGTAGAAATGAACCCATTAGTTCTAGACCTAACTGAAGTCGCTTGCTTGCTCTCAACTGGTCTCAACCCATTGTATTGAAACAGAGAAGCTCCATTGTTACATGACTCTTCGGTCTTGAACACCAAACCAGCAGAACAAGCACCAGCTATGCCTGCCATCTCTCTTCCTTTTTGAATCTTCTCTCTCTCTCTCTCTCACTCTCTCTTTAGAAAAAGACTGATTTCATAGATACATATACAGAGGAATGGGGGTGAGGGAGACACAAAGAACTTTGGATTGTCAGTGAGACAAACAATCATAAGAAGTGGTAGGAGAATTAAACAATGAACCTTTTTGGGTTTTCTTTGGACTTAGTTTTGGTTGTTTAGTCCGCCCAAAATTTTTCTATCATTACAGAACAAAATGGGCGATGATTTTGATTTTGATTGCAAACCATTTGGACCCAAATGGAAGTAAAATTGAAGGAAAAAAAATAAAAACTAGTGAAGAACTCTTTTTATTACGAACAATCACTTTTACAGACACTTTGAAGCTTATGAAAAGACATTCTAACTACAAATTTTTGGTTTCAACTAGGCTTGGATACTCCTATCCTATTCATTTGGCTGCTTGTATAATCAATTACTAAATATGTCATTGGGTTTCACACACATGCACATAGTTTAATGCTACAATGCCAAGTTTTATATTAATTTTCTTTATTTGATATATTAATCATGTCTTTGTATAATGTATGGAGGGTTGGATTCATTATACCATTAAAATATACACATCAAATAAAAAATTTTGATACACAAAACTTCATTGATCCTTAATCTACTAATAATGCGGAATGATTACTACTTCCAACAATGTCTTCCAATTAATTCCAATTAGTTGGCAACATCACTATCTAATAGGGTGTTTAAAAAAATCGGAGAATTGATAAATCGATTTAATCCAATCTAAACTGTTGGTTTGATTTGATTTTTTTAGTTATGATTTTGGTTTTGAAAATAGTGAAACTGTTCAAATCGGTCCAATTCTCGGTTCTGAATCAAATCAGACTGTGACATATTTATTTATTATTTTATATATTTTTATATAAAAAAATTAAAATATAAAATGTTTCTTAAAATATTTAAACACAAATCATCTTTGTAAAATTGATAAACTCTAACAAACTTAGCCAAAACTAATTATTATTAATTTGTTTTTTTTTTATCAACAAATTATTAATTTGTTTACTAACATAAAATACCTACTATATTTATTGTTATATAAAATTTATAAAATCATAAATCAAACTAAACCGAATCGAACTAGGTTTTATGGTTCAGTTCTGGTCTGATTTTTTTAGAACCATAAAAAATGATTTAATTCTTGATTTACTCTAAATGGGACCAATCCAATCCATGTACACCCTTTCTATTTACCAAACACTAGTGGAAAAGATGTTATGCAAAGTACCGTAAGATCACAAGTCCTAGGCAATAATATAGTGTTACTACCCATAGAAAGATGGGGATACCAAATCAGTGGAGAAAATTACAAGTTTTATTTTTAATATAGCAAAGTCTTTCCTTATTTTGTAAATAATTTTCCTATCTTCCACTAAAATGATATTTTCCCTAGAAAGATCATGCCTCCTTGAGTCTAAACTTTTGATTGTGGTTGTCAATTTTTCATACTTTAATTCAAATTGTAATATCAACTTTTAGGTTAACAAAAATTGACATGTGTGCCACATTGCAACAATTTTTATTTATTTATTTATTTTTTAAATTAAAGTGAGATTTTGGTAAAATTGATGAAGACTAAAATGAATTTGAGACATTTACCCACAAATTTCATTTTAGAGACTTATACTATATTATGTCTAATTAAGATTTTTTTACCTTCAAGTCTCATTAAATTTTTGATAGTCAGAATTACCTTTCAAGTAATGATTGTTCATCATTTGTGATTATCTATAAAAGAGTATGATGATATGATATTTATTTTGATTTTTAAAACTTTAAAACATTATAATTTTTACAATGTATGTTTGTTTTTGATAAAATTTATATTTTTAGAATAAACACAATGAGATCTGTCAAATAAGACTAATATTAAATATAAAATTATGTAAAAATTAAAAAATATATTTTTTAATTTTAAATTTACAATTTAAACTATTTTTAATAGTAAATCTTCTTCACTTATTGAATTTCTTAGAACTAACAATATTTACATGGTTTAATTTTTTTTATTATAAAATATATGGAGTCGGTTGAGTTAATTAGGAGAAAATTTCATACAAAATTGAAAAACAAATACTTAAATGAGGAAGTTAAACTAAAAAATTATAAATTTTATTCAAAAATTAAAAAATTAGATTGCAACTATGAAATTCATGTAAAATATATGATTCCTAATACTAAGAAATTTCTCAATTTGAATAAAATTTTCAGTTAAAAAAATTAGAAAATAAGCTAGTTTACATTTTTTTCAATTTCTAATCATAAATTAAAATTTTAAACAAAAAAAAGTATCTCCTTCATACATAAACATACATGAAAAAAAATTAGAAATATTTCAATTACGAAACTAAGAGAAATTTCTTATTTGGTGAAACAACTATATGGAACATTGCTGTGGAGGGAGGTGAGGGTAACGGAGGTGGAGGAGGTGGAGGAGGTAGAGAATAGTGAGGAGTAGAAGGAGATGAAGGAGGATTTGATACTAGGCTCGTCATAGATCCAGTTGTTGTTGGAGTCACGGATGGCTAGAATTTTGTTTTTGCGACGACGAGTGAGTATGGATTGGTGGAAATTTTTTTGTATTTTTGTTGCCATCAAGGACAACGTTTATATGGGATTTCACAGCCCAAAACTCCTCCTCAAGCTTGAGGATGTCATTAAAGTCCTTAACAAGAGTTCTTTCCAGATTGAAAAGAAAGGGGGAGGGATGAGTTTCTAGGCTTTTTTGGACGCCAAGAATGCGGGAGGATAGATGTTTTTTTCTATGGAAAATATTACCAAAGGAGAGCTTGTTCCAAAGTTTGACATTGGTTACAAAGAGGTTGACAGAAGCTAAGAAAGGGATGGTATTGTCTTGCCAACTATTTTGGATAATAGAGAAGATGCTAGGATCAGAGAACCACTTCATTTTGAAACGAAATAGATAGGTAGGCCTAAGGGTGGGGAGTGGGTCGGTGTCGAGGAGGATGAGACAGTGGTCGGAGTGTACTCCAGGGAGGTGAAGGACTTTGGCTCGGGGTAGAGGAGCTGCCAGGAATTATTGCACCAGCATTTGTCAAGCCTTTCACGAATTAAGGCTCTGGTGATATGGAGGTTGGACCAGGTGTAGCGAGGGCTAACAAATCCTAAGTCAATCATGCCACATTCATCCATACATTCCTTGAACCTCTTAGCACGGTGGGGTTGGATTGCACGACCACCAAATTTGTTTGCACTAGTTAGTATCTCATTGAAATCTCCAACCATGAGCCATGGAGAGGAGTGTGTTTCAGAAAGCAACATAAGATTATCCCATAAAATGCATCTTTGATTAAATAAGGACATATAGTTAAAAAAAGTCGAGGAAAGGGGTTAGAAGGGACCTTAATCCAAGTGTGGATCTCCTGCTCAGTGGTCAAGAGGACTTCACAGTTTATCTCGAGGTTATTCCATAGCAACCAAATAACTCCGACAAATCCGATGGTATTGGAGAGATGGACATTAGAAAAACCCAAGTTTTTGCTGAGGGCTTTGCCTCTAGTTCCACCTATTCTAGTTTCGGTGAGGATGACAAGCTAATGGTGGTATTCATTTACAAGAGTGAAGAAATGGTGGCAGAAATGTGGGCTAGCAGCACTACGACAGTTCAATAGTAGGACTTTCATTTGAGGGTTAAAGTGGGGAAGAAAGCGGGGTGTGATTGCCTCCCCGTTGATCACTTCCTCGCTGTTCGTGATCCATCCCGGACCAAGAGGGTTGTCCTCTAATGGCATTAGATCGAATGTCAGCGTTGGTATGAGACCTATGCTGTGAGTTAGATTTGAGTTTCCTTGCGTCATGAAGGACTCGACGGAGACGCGAATGAGGTGTAGCTCTGGTTCTGCCACGATCATCTCGGCTTGGTAACAGTGCCCTTCAAATACAAAGGTTCTCTGGTGAGGTTGTGGCCTCTGAAAGGAATCTGGGTATCTATTTGGGCTTCTGAGTTGAGATTTCTTTGGCATTTTAGGTTTCTGGAGGTCATGTTGTTTCGCCGGAGACGAGTGCGATGACGAGGCATTGGTTGAGCAAGCAACATAGAGAGGTAAAAGTGGTATGAGTTTAGTGGGATGAGAGTGAGGAATGAGAGTATTGTAAGGTTTATGGGGAATAATGGTAATGTGAAGACAAAGGGGATCATTTTGGGATGGGGGATTATCCTTAAGGAAGCACTGTCAGGTGTGACAGAGGATATAAGGATAAAATGTTTAAAGGACGAGGTCAAAGGAGGGCAGACCTGGGTGGGTGGGGTAGGGTTTGAGGTATGACAGTTTTTAGAAAGGTTTGCAAGGATAGAGAAGTTATTTGAATCAAGGATAATTGTGGCTTTTGGGGGTGTAGGTGGCAAGGAATCAAAAGAGACAGATAATACATAGGGGTCAGAGGAAAAGGTTGCTTGTACCTAGTCAACAGAAGGCTCCAGAGAATGTGGTTTTGTATTTTTATGCCAGACAGGGTGGTATACAGAGGTGTTGGTTTTATAGCGAGAAAAAAGGGTGGTTTGGAGGTCGGTTGGTGGTTTTGCGGTAATGGTCAACAAGTATCTAAGGTCCAAAGTGGGTTTCGAGAGAGATAGATGTGGTGTTTGTTGGTGAGTTGAGTGGATGATTGGAAGAATGTGAGTTTAGTGGAGGATGTGGGTTACAGTTACCTCTTTTGTGGCCCAGTTTATCACAGTCAACGCAGACTGATGATATGCCTCCATAAGAGACTCTTTGGGTCCATTTGTTTTGGGTTATGTAGATGGAAGAAGATTAGGATGGTGGAAGTGTTATTTAGTGTTGTGTTTGTTTGTAGAGTTGGAGAAGGGATTAGGATGGTGGAGGTGATATAGATAGAGGTTGGGGAGGGGATTGAGATGGAGGTTAGGAGATGATATTAGAAAAATAGTGAGGAGATTAGAAATTTTTTAATTTATTTTTTATCTTTTATTGAGAATTTTTTTTATAAATATTAATGTTTAATTTTTTATATTTGTTTTATTATTTTATATAAAAATAATTTAACAATTCCCACACTAACAACTATCATCAAAACAAATACAATTTTACTTAATCCCCTCACCATCAATCCCCTCACTATGAATTCCCTTACTATGAATCCCCTCTATTCTACCTCTGAAAATAAACGGACCCTTTAAGTAATAAATTTGATCTTTATTTTTGCAATAAGGGGTTTGGAGAGGTCAACTTGGACATATAATCTTGCGAATCTCCCTTTGTTGTCGTTCTTTTTGTGAACATCAATTTTCAGAAGTATACCCAATATGACATCAATCCTTTGGAGAATGGATCTGTCAAACGATTCAAT